CCTTTTAAGTACTAACGATCTCAACAGTTTTGGACATCTAACAACGGTCATTAAAATTGTCCAGACCGGTGCAAATGTTTTGATATTAAAAAAAAATCAAGTTTGATTTGCGTTTTCCTATTATTTAGTTAGAAAGTAACAAAATAGATAGGAAATTTTCATCTCATATCCATCTAGTAAAATTTCTGTTAAACTTAGCAAAGTTAACCACATAGTCATGCACTAAATAGGAATATATGATACATTTGTTATAGAGTCACAATTTCTACAATTGGACATATTTTCTTTAGTTTTAAAACATATGTTGCAAGTAAAGTGATTTTATTATTAATTTCCTTTGACATGCATGTCACCTTAAAATCTATGCTTAAATCAAATTTCCGTATTTCATATAAATAATACTCCCTCCGTTCCAAAATAGATGACTCAATTTTGTACTAACTTTAATACAAAATTAGTACATAGTTGGGTCATCTATTTTTGAACGGAGGGAGTAGTAATTTATATGTCACCATTTTGTGTGTGTGTGTGTGTGTGTGTGTGCGTGCGTGTGCGTGTGTGTGCGTGTGTGTGTGTGTGTTCACCTTTTAAATATCTTTAAATGTTTGTCTGTTAAGTTGTCAGAGTTTCTAGACTGCACGAGTATACATGTTATGTATACATAGATAAGGAGTTCTAGAGTGTATAAAAGCATCTCTAGCAGATTTCCTAAAACACATCAATCTTCTTAAAAAACTGCCATTATAAAAGAACCTAGGGATAATTTTCACTCTAGCATATTGCGCATACTCGCATGTGTACTTACGAACTCTAAAGAGCACTCTAAGTGAGTGGCGTTTTTGTTCCCGTGTCCATCTACTCCCAATATATGGGCCACCCAAGTTGTAGTTGAGATTTGTGCCAAAATCAACTATTGGCAACATGTGTGCATGAATAAACTCGTGTATTCATTCGATTGTACTGCCTGGCGGTATACAATGAGCCCTCTCATGGTATGACATAATTTGAATAGGATTGTCTGCTACGTGGAAGTGTTAGTGGTATCATCGGCTGGCCGGCGGCCCAAAATGATGTGAATTGATGGGCCATGGGACACAATCTTTTTCTCGTTGCTAAAACGTGAGGGAGGGTTGCTAAAACATGAGGGAGGAAAGTTCTCCTAAGAGAAAACAATTTTCCTCTTTTTGGAGGACAAAAATTACTTTCCAGTACAGGAATTGTATGGGGAGTGTTTGGTTACCCATGTTCTTTTTTTTCCTCTTTGCATGTGTGACTCAGTTGGGCCTGGCTGTGCTAATACAGGCCAAAGACCATATTGTGCATGTTCTTTAATCGTCTGCATGTAGGTTGGCTGCATCAGAGAACCAATTTTCACCTGGCGTTTGGTTGCCTGCGTTGCACTGGGTTGATGCACTACACGGTGTTCGAAACATCGTTTCGGTCCTACCTCCTCCATCCCAAAATGTAAGACGTTTTTTGATATCATGGTAGTGTGAAAAAATGTCTTACATTTTGATATGGAGGGAGTAGTTAGGAAACAAATGGTAGTTCATCCTAGCGACTAACAATTAGCAGTACAAACTAAAAGTCATATGGATCAAAAGGGGAAAGTGCATCGATGCCGAACTAGGTGAAATTCCATCCTCTTCTTCTTCTTCATAACCGTGTCTGACCTCTATTTGCCCACATAGCCTCAGCCCAATCCAATCGTTTGTTCTTGCAGGTCTCATTGTCAAATGCCTCCACACCATGGCCGACGCTATCAAGATCATCATCCATCACATCTTCCTCCTCCGGCACAAGCTCATCAGAGCCCCATTGTAGGATCCAATTATGAGGGATGCAACATGCAAGAACAAGTTTAACCTAGGTGGGGAATGTGTGGAATGACTTCTCATTCATAATCTTAAATCTATTCTGTAGAGCTCCAAATGCGCTTGTAACCGTAACTCTAAGTCTAGAGTGTCTAGGGTTAAACTATTATTGAGCAGTCCTAGGATAGTTCCTACCAGAGAACTCGTTCAGAGGTACCTGGTTTTCCTGAAAGTTCAAAGAACACCATGACGACATGCAAAATTCTTCAACACTGAATTGCTCTAGAACTACTAACTTAAATCTGTCACAACACATTTTCTCTTCAATCCTAACATATTCATATGAGTAATGGCCACACGACACATGCAGGAACCATCATCCAGTATTTACGAGTGGGTGATAGTACCTTTGGTTGAAGTTTCTCCATGGGTGACACACTTGACGGATCTTGCTCAAGAAACTACCAGCGTCACCGTAAATTAAATAATCCCAAGTGTGAATGATCTCAGATCAACGACAGTCCTGGCATGGAAACTACCCAGTACATGTGCCTTCATCTAAGCATCAGATTTGACAAAAGCCCGGCCCAAGACATAGAAAAGCACAGGAAATGAAAGGACCAGGATCACGATAATAACAAATTATGTCATCACTTAGATGTGCAATATCTATTTCTCATCTATATGAGCCCTAGAGGGACCCTTATTATATATTTTCAACCAGCTTTTACATTATTGTGCATCTTTTCCTATATATGTCATTCCAAAGATATATAGTGTCCATAGATGATATCATATGTATTTATTAGTGGGGCTCAATTATAAGAGCTTGAATTATAAGTACACTGGTGTTAATAAATACCAAAGATAATATATGATAAGAAGAAATTGTTAAGTGGGTAAATAAATTTTGAGATTTGCTTGGTGACGCCATTCAATCAGTGATATAAATGAAAATGTGCATATAAGTTCAAGTATGCGATGTGTCAAGATTATAGTAAACATTAGACTCAAAGACGGTGACCAAGAATATCCTAATTTTATCCTTCGAAAATCCAAGCAAGTCACATTGTTTCATTTATTGTTTGCTTTGTATTTGCTCTTTCACAAGATCTTCTTTCTACTTTAAATATATTTATTTCAAAAAAAGACGAGATGGTGATAGCTTGGGGAGTTGTCCCTTTGATGATGAAAGGTAATATATCGATTATGATCCAACATTTCTCAGCACACGACAACGCATCAATACCAAACACATCAAGTGGCAGGTGTACATCCCCTTGCGTTCCAATGATTCTGATTGAAAAGATCAGTAGAGTATCTGTTGGGCGACAATCAAACTTAGGGTTCTCGGCTCCACCACATATCCATCATCAATTATGGCGTGTTTGATATGACTTTATTTGAATTGCTGGTGCACGAACTCTTTTTGAAAGGCACCCATGCACCAACTTAATTTCCATTACTTCTCTTCGGGTTTGTAAGGCATGCATGTATTTCCTGATCTTCCGTTTGGCAAATGAAATTCGAGCAATATGCCATGAAAAAACAAACCTTTTCTTAAATTTAGTTATATGTCGAAAAAACTAATATATTTTTGTGATATATAACACGAGTTTCATTGTTAAATTGACGACCTAGAAGTATGCACAAGAAATACATGTAACTCAAATTTCACATCAGAAGAAAAATATATACCCAGTCCCTAATAAAGACGAGTGTGTGGAATATAATCAATATACATTGGTAAAGGGAGAGCGTACATAGATTGTATCATTATTTTTATTGAGTGGATCTTAATTGTAAAAGCTTGAGTTAGAAGTACATTTGTGTCAAACAACAAAGGTTAATTTATGATAAGAAGAATTCATTAAGAGTGGATACATAAAAAAAAAAGCACTAATTGTTTGGCGATACAATGTGCATATAAGTTCAAGCCCGGCATGTGTCGATATCATAACTAACATTTGACATGAGCGCAGTGACTAAAAACACTAATTTAATCCTAAAAAAACATAGGACATAATTGAATTCATTGTTTTCTTTATGTTTTCATTAGAAGATCCACTATTTGTTTCAAATCTCTATATTTCAGTCAGTTGAGGCAATCAAAGACGACACATAACATTCCAATTGTGACCCAACATGCCTTGACACGCAGCAACGCGCCAATACCAAACATATCAAATGGCAAGTGTAAATCCCCTATGTTCTTATGTTTTTGACTGAAAACATCAGTAGAGTATTTCTTTTTTGCGAGAAAATTTCCGATCTATTCATCTTCAATCATGACAGTACAACGAATACCAGAAATAATAGAAATTACATCCAGATCCGTAGACCACATAGCGACAACTACCAACACTGAAGCGAGCCGAAGACGCGCCGCCGTCATCGCCCCTCCATCGCCGGAGTCGGGCACAACTTGTTGTAGTAGACAGTCGGAAAGTCGTCGTGCTAAGGCCCCGTAGGACCAGCGCTCCAGAACAGCAACCGCCGCAGATGAAGAATAACGTAGACCAGAAATATCCAATCCGAAGACACACATATGTAGACAAACAACGACGACATCCGAGCAAATCCACCAAAGATAGATCCGCCGGAGACACACCTCCACACGCCCACCAACGATGATAGACGCATCACCGGAACGGGGGCTAGACGGGGAGACATTTATTCCATCTTCAGGGAGCCGCCACCGTCTCGTCTTCCTGAGCAGGACACAAACCCTAGCAAAACTGAAAGAAACGATTAAAAACGGAGCCCTCCCGACCCTTACCGAGATCCACTGCGCCCCCATGGCCCTAAGGCCATCGGAGAGGAGGCGGACCTGCGGCGGCGGCGGCGGCGGGAGGCAAAAACCACCTCTCCATTTTCAATTCTTGCATGTTTGATCTGAGTTTGTTTGAATCTCCCAAGCACCCACTCAATTTGAAAGGCGCCCATGCACCAACTTATTTACTGCAATCCGTTTGTAAGACATTATATACTACTACAAATTACAATACCTTCCGTGTGAGTCTGAATCAATCCCGCCTAATGGCAAAATGTAATCTCAACGGCCCCACTACTAGCTACTCATAATCCCAATCCCGTAGCCAAATACGTATGTTGGAGTACTATATCACCGCACGTACGTACACGTTCACCACCACGTTAACACAAGACGGCGTCGCGTGGAGTCGTTCACAGGTTCATGTCCACGACGAGCGGTGCGTCCCCCTTGTGCACGTCGAACGCGCGCCTGACCTGCTTCCCGCCGGCGCCGGCGGCCAGCTCCACGACGTACTTGCCGTGGAACCCCCTGAACTTGAAGTGGCCGTTGGCGTCCACCTTGCCGCGCGCGTGCGACGTCCACTCCTGGCGGAGCCCCACGAACCTGTTCCCGGCCTGGCTGATGGTGCCGTCGGCGTTGAGCAGCTGCCCGTGGGAGCGCCACATGTGGCCCTGCATGAACCCCCACAGCATGATCCCCTCCACGGCCGGGTGCGCGAACGCCTCGCGCAGCACCACCTCCAGGTCGTCGGCGCGCACCGCCTCGTCCGCGGCCGACACGTCCAGCTCCGTGATCCACACGGGGAGCTCCGTGGCGGCCAGCTTGTCCAGCGCGTCGCAGATGACGTCGCCCACCGGGTGCGTGACGTGGCCCTGCACCCCGATCCCGCCCACGGCCGCGCCGCGCCTCTGCAGGTCGGTGATCAGCGCCACGTACTTCTCCGGCGTCGCGTTGGGGTCGTTGGCGCTCTCCACGTTGTAGTCGTTGACGAAGAGCGCCGGGGCCGGGTCGATGGCCGCCGTCTCCCGGAACATGTGCGCGTCGATGTCGTCGCCGAGGCGCTGCCGGAAGAAGGCGCCGTGGAGCATCTCGTTGTTCACCTCGTAGTGCGGGAAGCGGCCGCTGTAGCGGGCGACGAGGCCCCGGATGCGGGACTCCACGGCGGCCCTGAGCTGGTCGGTGTTGAGGGCGCGCACCCACGGCTGCACCGAGTTCTCCACGGCCCAGAAGATGCAGTGCCCGCGCACCGGCTTCTTGAGCCGGTCGCAGAAGGCGATGAGCTCGTCGGCGTCGGCGTAGCTCACCTGGCCCTGGACGGGCTCCGTGTAGTACCACTTGAGCTCGTTCTCCAGCACCGCCCAGTCGAAGTGCTTGGTGAAGAAGTCGACGAAGGCCGGGTTCTGGATGGACGACTTGCTGATGCACGCGCCGATCGGGAAGCTGTTCTCCACCTGGACCACGCGGATAGACGCGCCCTTCACCGCCGCCGACGCGTCGGCCCCGTCCTCCGACGGCCGGCTGAACTTGAGCACCACGTCACGCTTGCGCACCTGCAGCCAACACGTAGAAAATGATTATCCAAATCCGACCGTGTAGGCCATAGTTTTTGCATGCGCTTGAGTAGAATGCAATGCAATTCTGTTTCATCAAAAATCTGCTGCGCGCGTCATGTTGCTTATGTCATTTCTGTGACAAAGTTTCAAACTAGCATTCAAAAGTTTCAAAACAAAAAGTTTATAAATCGAAAGATGAAATTTTGTTGATATACACAAACTTGTTGGTCACGTGTACCTTGTCCGTCTTCTTCCTGAGGTGCCTGAGCCTTGCGATCTTGTCCACGGCGCACACGCGCATGTCCATGACCTTGATGTCCACCCCGGCCGGCGGGCCATGGACGTAAACCTCGGCGCGGCGCGGGTGCTCGTCGACCCGGAACGCGCCCTTGATCTCGGCCCACTTCCCCGGCTCGGCCACCAGCACGCCGCCGCCGACCCGCGCGCCGTCGTGCGTGCGGACCTCGACGTGCACGGGGTGGCCGCCATCCGCGCCGGGGCCGCCCTCCAGGGCAACCCAGCCGGCCACCCGGTACGTGACCTTGGGCTTGGGCGCGCAAGTTATTTCCCGGCAAAGGCCGTCCTTCTCGTCCGCCCGGTGCGCGGCGAGGACGTACCGGCCGCTCGGCTTCCGCTTGCGCGCGCACGGCACGTCCTCCGCCGTGGCCGAGAGCGGAGGCGGCGCGTGGTCGTGGAGCACCGAGAGCGTGCTCGCGCCGGCCGACGCCCAGCCGCCTAGGCCGCCGTCGGCCTCCCCCGAGCAGGAGCCGCCGTGGTGCTCGAGCAGGTTCACGGGGAGGGCAGGCTCCTCCTCCTCGTCTTCGCTGCCGCCGTCCTCCGTCAACTTCATTGCGATGGCCGCCTCTTTCTCCATGCTGCTGCCGCCGTCGGCCGTGAGCTTCATTGCAAGTGGCACCTCCTCCTGCACACGCACGCGCGCACATTAACCCATTGCAACGGAACGCACGAGCAGAGTTCTTGCGAACAATGTCGATCGATGTTTGATGCCCCGTTCTTGTCGGGATGAGACAGGATTCTTGTTGGGGATGGATAATATCATATCATATCGATCGCTAGCTTGCTCGATCAGTTGCTTGGCTTTAAAGAAGGAACTGGTTGATTGGAAAACAACCGGCGGAAGAAGATGCATGAATAGCTTGGAACCCACATCATGTCCAGCAAATTCACGCAAAATTCTTGAAGTTTGCGACAAAATCTACTAAAATTTACAGGGTTACCAGTAGACGATACCAACATGCAACATAGTAAACCATAAAGCCCGTGCCATTTTTAGTCCAAGCTTCCATGATGCGCGTGAACATTGGTATTGCAATCATAAAAACTAGACCAGTCAGGAGACTTAGGCCTTGGCGGCATTTTTAAGCATTGCAATCATGCATGAGAGAGAAGCAGATAGACATGACAGCATGTCACATACCTTAGCGAATGCCATGTCGATGAACCGAAGGGACGACGTCGCTCAACCACTCGATCGATGTGTGCGTAGCGCGAAACGTGTGCGTTGTTGTTGTTGTTGCTGCTGCTATGATGGTGTTTGTGTGGTAAGTCAGGAGGGATGAGAGGCACGCAGGGTGGCAATTTATAGGGAGAGCCAGCTCTAGATCTATGTCATGTTGGTCTGTCAGTTTGGCCGGCGATCCACATCCATGGGACAGAGCAGAAAGGTGGCCGAAGCCCGTTGCTAGCTGTAGGGAATGAAAGCTCCCCATGCCATGCCCAATCTCGGCTACCTAACTCGTATCTTTCCTCCTATCTTTTGTACAACACTCAAGTTTGGGCAATGCAAGATTAGTCAATCAGGCCGGTTTGCCGGGTCGTGCCGCTGACATGCGGGCCCGCTTCTCGTGACCGTGTCTCGTGGAGTAGGTTGATCTATGGTCAGCTAGCTGATTATTAGATTCATGATTATTACTTTTTGTTAGGGTTATGATCATTAGCAAAATCCAAGCATCTCCCAACTCCGATCCTTTTCTTGGCTTTCGGAGGAGTAGAAGTTGATCAATCCTTCCTTTCCTTCGGTCGTTGGCAGGCACACGCACACGCAAATGCATAGCAATAGTCGTATTATATGTGCACAACTTAGTAGTAGCAAGCAGCGCAGCCCGTACCGTACACATGTGCTTTTGTGGGAGTTCTTTTGAAGTACACATGTGCTTTTGGCACATGATAATTGTACATCTGGTTGCGCTACCCACTCTAGAAGATACTCCCTCTGTAAACTTTTATAAGAGTGTTTAGATTACTACTTTAGTGATCTAAACGCTCTTATATTTATTTACAGAAGGAGTATAATATAGAGAGCGCCTATACACGCACCTGAAAAAATGTTTTGCATCAGTCACTTTTATTCAGGACCACTAGATCTTCATCCAATGGACAAAAATAGATCTCGCAATGTTCATCTTTAACATTCCCTTCTTCATCCTCGGGCAGCCGCCGGCCTACGCTGCTCTAACCGTTTGCCTCCCCCATCCCGACAGTTGACAGTCGCTGCCTCGCCGCCCCACCCTCCCCCATCGCCCCTGCCATTCCTCTGAGCCCCCGTTCGAATCCTACTCACTCCGTAAAGAATTAAAGGGATTGCTTTGACCTCGGCCTTGCCATGGCTGGCGCTCCTCACGCCGTGTCCGCCTTAGGCCTCGCGAAGCGGATGTGACTGTTTTTTTTAAAGGAGGATATCCCCGGCCTCTGCATCAGAGTGATGCATGCAACCAATTTACTAAAACAAAATACGGAAACAAGGTCTCATAGATGTAGCAGACACTTAATATATGTCTTAGATGTAGCAAGAGGACTCCTCTTACTTCAAGAAATGTGAACAGGGCGTTTGGCCATTTGGAGTAAAAGTCGATCAATCCTTCCTTCGGTGGTTGGTAGGCACACGCAAATGCATAGCAGCACGAGTAGTATATATTTGCATATACGTGACGGCCTACGAACTAGTGAAGAACCGTAGACATGTAATTTGTGAAAGTTCTTTCTACATACACATGCGCTTTAAACACATGACGATGATGGTGGTACATCCACCGGTACTAACTAGCTAGAAGACACTTCCACTGTGCACTAAACTAGCCTAAAAAAATATCAGTTTGTCTAATTCACATCTAGATGTTTTTTAAGGATGTCACATCTAAGCTCCCACAAATAACGCAGCAACAATGAACAAAAAAAAAGCTGGGACAAAAAAATAGACCATAAAAATAGATGTGTCCTAAACAGACCCAAAAAAACATTTTATAATTTGGTTAGGAAGGTACTAATATATAATCTTATATCTAGCAAGAGAACCTTCTGCTTTGTGAAGTATTAACAGAGTGTTTCAACATTCTAGGACTACTACTCGCAGCCGCCCCATTATTACATGCATGCATACGTGATGGGAACTTCCACTTTGATTCGCCGCCCCATATGCATAATTAAGAACCTAATTAGGCTAGCAGCCCGTACGCATGTACCTTTTGAAATTTTTTCTAAAGTACATATATGCTTATAACACATGATGATTTTTTGTTTGAATACTTTAACGCATGATGATGGTAACACATCTATGGTACTACTTGCTACTCTAGTCTAGAAGATATAATATACGCACGTCTCAGATCTAGCAAGAGAGCCTTTCACTTTTGTGGAATGTGAACGGAGTGTTTCACCATTGGAGGAGCGCTTCGCAGCCGTCCCATGACATACGTGATGGGTGTTTCCACTTCAGTTCGCAGTTTGGACTTTGAACGAACAGTATGTGTAATTTAGTCGCAAACCATGGCGTGAAGCTACGAACATCGGCCGAGGCATGCATGGCCATGGACTCCTGGGTGATCTGTGACGTCCGTTCTCGAATCTTGACGGCACAAGCAAGCTCCTCGGCATGCATATGCCGACCCACGAAATTGAGCACCGGCCGTAATGCATGCATGGATATCCTGACCTGGATTGCTTCAAAAGCATGGAAACACGTCCGCGAGGAATTAATGTGCGCCGAACGATGGATCGATCGTGCGTGCATGCATGCATCCGCAAAATCGTACTCCCTCCGTTCCCAAATATTTATCTTTTTAGACATTTCAACAAATAACTACATACAAAGCAAAATGAGTTAATCTATACTCTAAAATATGTCTACATACATTCACATGTTGTATCCATTTAAAATGTCTAGAAAGACAAATATTTAAAAACGGAGGAAGTAATAACTTCGTCTTGCTCAATAAATCTTTTCCTTGCGTCGTCGAACATGCATCTCAGTGTCTCAAAAGACGTTTGAACAGATGCCTTTTTCAGAAACAGAACACAAGTCTAGAAGAGCACCGCGTGGGCAAATATTTTGTGAGGTTGTGATGAGGGCCCGGAACGGTTAGGCCAAATGAGATTATAATTTGGTGCACGGTCAAACTTTATTTTTTAACATAGTAGAGACGCAAGCGCTCATAAATACGGGTATACACTCGTTCCTATCAATACAAACGCACATCCTATCCATATAAGTATCTCCGAGAGACTGAACCGGCATATCATCTTGAGATTGACGAAGTCACCAAAGGTGTCACGTAGTCAACGGGAAAGTCTCCTCCCACTGAACGTGCATCGCCGGAAATGCTGAAATTAATCCAGGAATAAATGCGAGCATCAGGACTTGAACCCTGATGGGTTGGGGAACTGTCCACCTAATCATCCAACCACATGTTGGTTCGCTTGGTCAAATTTTATTGAACTGACTCCTAAAATTGTTGGTTTTTATTTAAAAAAAAAGGTCATCGTTACTTTTAGCGACTTCAAAACCGTAGTTTTGCGAAAATTACTATTAACTTCTCAGACAGCAAATTTTAAGGATGCAAATATAAAATTTACATTTTTCTTTTATTAACCCGTTGGATGGTATTTTACTGTGGTTTTAAGAATAGCAATGCAACTTTATGGATTAAGCATACACAGTACAACAGGTTGAAGAAACTGCAAGCACGAACAAAACAGTTCTAATAAAATTGAACAAAACAGTTCTAATAAAATTGGAAGCTACACGAAGATGTTTTCAAGACATCAATTATATCGATATCTACATGCAACTTAGTTATGTAGCGTTATGCCCCTGCTCCTTCGCAACCTAGGCGTCAGGGCGGCGGCTCCTGATATAGCCTTCCCCATTCCCCCCTCTCTTTTCTTTAGCTGCTCTGGCAACAAGAGAGGACAGACACCTGTAGGGTTAGAATTAACTTTAAGATTCGGTATTCGTTCGTGGGTGGCGAGACGAGGGCGTTGGCGGCAGCGTGGAATAAGTTCTCCCCGCCTTGCCATCCTGCCAACGATGCTTCCTTGTGTCATCGGGGAGCGTGTGGAGGGTGGTGCTTCCCATGCTCTGTTATGTGGATCGAGTTTTATTTTCATGTGCAAATCTATCTCAGTGAGATTGTTCTACGAAGCGGACGACATGACTTTGCCTCTTGGGCCTCTGGCTCTGGCTCCGACCGGCGAAGGGCTAGCCATTCTCAGCTTTGTCTGGGAGCATGTGAGGCTTGTGTTCCCTAAATCTGTCTGGTCGGGTCTGGTGTGTTCTCCAGGCCTCCCTGACGCTTTCTTCTTTGCGCGGCAATTTTCTCCTCAGATTGCGGTTGTCGACATCTTCAATTATACATCAACTACTTTCACGACAGGTACTTCTACAAGCTCCTGGGTTTCAACAAGGTCTTTCCGCTTTGTCAGAGACCCAATAGCGACATTGAGATTTTCTCATGGTGGCCCGCTGTTGGACGCATGAGGAAGAAAATTCCAGCTGTTCAACACCCCAAGAACTTGGATATACTTTTTATTTTCTGTAAGGGTCGGTGCTACTTGATATATGGCATCTGACCTTTTCATCAAAATAGTCATCGATTTTATCTATACCCTTCACAGCTTTGGTCTTCCTAGGATGTTTAGTTTATATATGTTTATCACCCATATATGCATTATTGAACCTTTAGTTTCCACAACACCATAAAGAGATCTAAGTAGGAACAAATCTGGTAGTCGTCCATTCACCCACCAGTCACTACCAATTGATTCTTCATGTGGGATGCGGGGTGACCATTGAAGAAAGGATCGTGAAGTATATGATCCCAAGATAACCAAGAAATGGTTAATGCCAATGATTCAAGGACAACCCTTCTTGTAGGCACCTTATACACTCTAGAACTTCTTATTTACTTAACCTAAGATATACACTCATGCACTATAGAAAAATCTATGGATGTATTATTAAGACATTTAAGGATATTAAAAAGATGCGAGCAC